GAGGAGGAGGAGGAGCAGAGGAACAGAGGAACAGAGGAACAGACCGAGCGCACCCAAGTGCGGAGTTCGGGCGATGCCAAACGCATTCTAGCCCTGGCCATGAGCGGCGCATGCAGCGGCAGGCGCGGCGGCAGCTGATATTTCTTACACGGCCATGCCGTGGGTAGCTGCGCGCAGGAATTTGGTAAGGCCATTGCGCCCCGCGTGGGCGCGAGTGAATTCTCCCTTGTCAATCTTGGCGAGATCCTCTCGCCCTTTCTTGGTAATACCCGCGCAGGGTGCGGCGAGGTGGCGTGGGTCCTCAGTAGCCGTCTTACCGCACCCGCGGCAGAAGTACAGGCGGTACTTCTGCATGAAATGAAGCTTATGGCTGGCGTGCAGCTCGCGGCCAGTAATGGTGATGGTGCCCTGTACTGGCACTATCTGGTCACTGGCAGACGGAAAGGGGCGGCTGGTGGGTGCACGGCGTGGCACAGGCCTGGCGTACTTTACACTTGTCAGTGGTGAGCCCGCACCGAGAGCAGAGGTACTTGCCCGCTCTGAGCTCAAAGGCGTGCTGGCTCGATTGCATGGCTAGCTGCAGCTTGGTGAGGCGCGGGCCTTTGGCCTGCGAGGGTCGCTCCGCCACCCAGGGGTCGACTGCAAGCGTGTCAGCTAGGGCTCGGCGCGCCCTCCTGCGGATGAGGGTGCACTGGGCATCGTGCAGGTCTGTGGGAGGGGCCTGTCCTACGAGCGTTGCCTCGTAGGACTGTTGGGCCGCTACCCCTGCCCATGCATCGGCCGTCGCGTTACCGATAGTGTGAAAGTATCGCACAGGGTCCAGAGGCGAGGCCAGGCCAGGTGACTCCTCGCTGTGTGAGGGCACCCAGATCACCGAGAGCTGCCTACTGCCACGTGCGCGAATTGCTTTTGCAATACGTGCCCACAAATCCTGATTTGCGCCATCGCGGGGGCGCAAGTGTCGATTCGACCGCCATCCGTCATATAACGGGAGGTGGTCTGTGATAAAACAGAGGTCACCCTCCCAGTGTTCAAGGGCGAGCGCGAAAGCCAGCAGCTCAGCACGAGGCACAGTCTGAAAGGGGCCCTCGAGGCCCGAAATGATGCCTCCCCAGGGGACCCACTCCCCGAAGAGGCACTTCATGGCGGCACAGGCGGTCCCCACTCTTCGGCGTCGTGGGTCATCACTGTACTGACCTCCAGAGCCGTCCCCGAAGAGGGTGAGGGTGCCGTCGCTGCTGACGCAATCCTCCCAATCCCGCCCAACCCAGCTCCACCCGCCGTCCCCTCCCAATGAGGCAAAGAGCGGGTGCGTGTCATCGCGCGCAGGCAGGCCGCGGAGCCAGCATGCGGGGGCAGCCTCTGCTCCAGCCAGGGCAGAGGGCATGAGGGCGTCAGAATCCGTGTAGTCCTCGTGGTCGCGGTTGCAGGGGCACAGCCAGACCCTGTGCATGAGCGTCTCGTCGGCCCCGCCGCGCCTCAGACAGGTTGGAGTAGCGTTGCACCCCGCCTCGATGAGTCGGCTTCTGGGCCATTGCGCCCCCGCGACCACGCAGAGGTTGAGGGCCGCCTGGTCGTACTGGCCCTTCCTCGTGAACCTCTCCATCTCGTTGGCAACTATGTGGGCGTCTGGGCCCCCCGTTGCAATCCTTCTCCATGTGGATGTTTGGCAGCATCCCTCCAGAGGCTCCTCTCGAGGGACAGGCAGAACTCGTGGACGAACTCCGCAGGGTCCACGTCATAGCGCTTGTCCTCCCAGTCGGCTTGTCCACTGTGGGGTAGCTGCCACTCCTGGGTGTAGGCCTCGCCTGCCCACGGAGGTCGTGACCACTCCGTGGCGTCGGGCAGGTCCAGCCTGCGTCCAGGGGGGATGGCCTGGCTGGCGGAAATGGGCCCCTTGACCTTCCTCCACTTCTTGTTGCCGCGCTTGATCGACTTGTCGTAGATCAGCTTCCACGCCTGCGTGACCCGCCTGTGGTGTTCTGGGTACTGCATCCAGAAGTTGAGCCACTCGGCGATCGACTGGCGCCTGAGCTCGATGGCGGGGTCCTTCTTCCCCATGACGACGGCGAGGGCTGTGGAGAGACAACGGCCAGGGACCTTCCCCGCCGAGGCCTGGACGGCCTGGCGCCTCTGGTCGAGGATGGCCGCTGGGGCGGGGCCCATGGTTTGGTGACCGTAGGTCCCCTGTGGCCTGGATCCCGTGTTCCACGGGCCCTTCGCGATCTTGGCGAAGGAAGCGTGCTTCCTGACCTTGGCGACGATGCGGTGCGTACGCCTCCTCGCAGTCCTGGCCCTCTTGATTGCCTTGACGACAACCCATCTCTTGGAGCCTCCCACGTCAATGCCGAGGTCGGCCGCGCTGTTGGCCGCCTTGACGTGATGGCCCTTCCTCTTGAGGCCGTCGTGCACTGCGTAGGCGATCGTCTGGCTGGAGGCGACGACGGTGGTCTTGGGGGAGACTCGGGGCCCCACCCCCATCATGCCTTCGAGTAGGTCG